TTCTTTACAATGAGAAAGGCAGAGTATGAATTTGCGTGAACACAGCTAGAAAGAACTGATTAAGTTGATAACAGTGAAGCTTTTTCCATTCATTTGCTGTTGTGATAAGTGAGAGATTATACTGCTGCCTGTGGTCTGCAGATCAGTAGAACATACAAAGGAGTCTCATGTCTGTCCATTATCGCAGGCTATTTTTTGATGAGGTCATTATAACTCTATGGCAGACAAATGATATTCCATTGAAAACAAATACAAAAATTCAATGTCAGCATTTCACTCTGTCTAGTATTCAGCTGCAAATTCTAAGGTTGTGGAAGACCTGGGTTTGTCTTTAAAACATGAGTCATATCATCTATTCACAACACTGTTGTGTGTCTTTCCATAAGTCACTTATGCTTACACTGTCAAAAACATCCATTAAATGGTGCTGAACTTGAGATAGCCACAGTCTGCATTTCAGAATCCCTGAAGAAACTCAATTACAGAGGGAGCAAAAAGGACCTCTGCATACTGAGGCTATTCAAAATGGAGGCACCAAAAAATCAGCAGACACTAGAAAATGTCAGCCTTCATCTCTGCATTTGATTCCACATCTGTAAGATGTGGATAAATATTGTTAACTCACTTCCCAGGGGAACTGCAAGATGAGAGTTTTGCATCCTTTGGGATTCTTTGCGCAGAGAGGCTAGGGAAGTGCTCTATTACAGTGTTTCTCAACCAGTGGTACCAATACCCTTAGGGATACTCGAGAGAAGTCTGGGGGGTACATCAACAACTGAAATTTGGAGAAAACTGAATTTTTGTTTTAAGTTTTACAGTGTTATTATTTTTGTACTTTTTACACCCAAAAATTTCATCACCCACCCAGCTATGATTATGTTGTTTAAACAAATGGGTTGCAATGCTAGAAAGAAAACGTGTGTGTCTGAAAACTGTAGGTACTGGGGGAACATACTTTTTTTTTTTAAGTGGGTACTTTATTAAAAAAAGTTTGAGAAACACTGCTCTATTAGACAATACTAGAAAGTCAATTTCTTAAAAAAAAAAATCTAAAAGGAATAACATCACTACAGCGTTCTGATAATGAATCTAACTCTCACATTTGACTCTTAACAGGCAAAACTCTCTTTTTTGGTCTGCAGTGTGGATCATAACTGATCTTTTGCTCTCTTTACACATGTCGTTCCAGTTCTGCTCTCACTGCTGCACACAGAAGAACATACTTTTGTAATTCCTCTGAATTTGATCAACCATGACCAGGGGCTGGCTCCGAATGTTTCTTCTGAGGGTGCAAATCCAGTAGTCCGACCAAAAAAAACCAAAACCAAAACCAAAACAAAAAACAAAAAATGTGGTAGTAGGTTCATGGGTACTTCTGTGAACAGCGATGATCAGACCCCAAACTAACACAGGGCCAGTAAGCTAATGAGAGGGTGCATGTATCTTCTGTAGGTTCTCATTTTGTTTCAATACCATCACGAGCCAACATTTCTGCTACAGTACAGGCCTTTGATATAAAATTAGGTATGGCCAATAGTAGGAAGCACCGAAGAAAGCAGGAGAAAAAGCACCTATCCTGAAAATCTGTGCATAAAGCTCAAAACAGCTTAAAATAACACGTAGGGTGTTGATTCCCTTCTATAGATTACCCTAAAATAGACATAAAATGACACATGGTTTTTCACAGAGTCTAACCAGCCAGAAACATCTCCTGTGTAAGATACAATGAAGCTTTCACTAAAGCACTATACATTGCAAATCTCTCTAGGAATGAACTGCTACTTAACATTCTTTCCAGTTCATAATCATTGTAAAAGGTTTAGACAAAGACCACAGCCTTATGGGAGGCTCTGCACTGAAAAGAGCAGACACAAAGACTTGCACTTTATGAGCGTCATAATAGGCAGAATTCCTCCAGTGGGAAGGAGAAAAAAGTTCTTTATAAGGCAAATAAAAAACGGTGCTAGCCAGGTGTTTTGGTTCTGAGGCAATGTTAAAAAAGCTAATAAATAAGAGTGAAATGCTTTAGCTTTTCAATCAGATCTCTTTCTGGATTAATCTGAGAGACCTGGAAAAATAAGCACATTCTCAAGAGTGTTCTAGCATAGATTTTTGTTTGAAGTGTGGCTGAGGCATGTTTACAGAATCGAGTAAGCTCACAATCAAGGTCTGTAACAGATTTCTCTAATATGTTTTTAAACCATGTTGCCTTATCCTCATTCTAAAACAAAGTATTTGACTCCCCCGATCATACTAGCCATACAACCATGTTTAATAAATATGCTTAAATATTATTTAATCTATCTGTGGGTTTTATACAGCCGTCTGTTACTGCAGTATCTGAGCACCTTCCACATAAAATCAACAGCAAAGGCCTACTGGACTTCGTGAAATCTCTGACTCTTCTCCCTTTTTGGTGGTAAAACTTTTCTTGGGTAGAAGTGAGAGGGAGGGGGATTTTGGATATAAGGGGAGTGTAATTGTTTAACTTTTTTGCAACTCAAAAGTTAATTCTTTAGAAACACAGAACCTGCCTGATAGGATCAGGCTGTGGTCCATCTAGTTCTATATCAGCTGCCAAGGACCAACAGCAGATACGTCAGAGGAAAGCACAAGAAACATTTTTATAAATAGTTTACTTACAGGGGAAATTTCTTCCTGACACTTTTGTCGGAAGCTGTTTTTATACCTTTCATCACCAGGGACTAGGGCTGGGTATACTTAACCATGCCTCAGTACAGGTGAATGGACTACTAGATGACTTCTTGAGGTCCCCTCCAAGCCTACGTTTCTCTGACTGCATCGTTTTCAAACTTTTGTTTTCAATCCATAGTACAGTTACTTCAAATTTATTACCCGTATAAACGTCCAGGTTTTTTTTAGTCCACTGAATTAGTGGCCTCGGCGATATCTTGGGGCAATGAGTGCCATGGTCTAATTTTATGCAATGTTTTTATCAGTGTTGAAATTTGCTGTGTTCTAATGTCACTGAATGGCCACTTGTTCTTGTACGTGTTTCTTATTAAGCAGCAGAATACTGAAATGTTTCCTGGAAGTGTCACTTTTCTATTTGGTTGTTATAGACTGCATGTATCTCTCATGGGGTACAGCTACTCTCCCAATAACCATGCTTTATTTCGTTCATCATGTTGTTATAGACTGCATGTATCTCTCATGGGGTACAGCTAATCTCCCAACGACCATGCTTTATTTCGTTCATCACTTGCATGGAATAATGATAGTCATATACACTTAAAGAGATATGGTATTCCTAATAGTGTGCCATTCACATGATCCACCCCAAGGGTGCCATTTCAGGAGGGTAGAGGGAGCAGCAGCTGTGCGCTCCAGGACAAGGCTTATTTTTCATCCTGTTCCCCAGACTATCAGGGAGTGAGGGGAAAGTATTTGCATTCCATGCATTCCTCTCACACCTCGCTCTAGGAGATTTGGGTTAGGAAATGCTAATAAATAAATACCACAAAAGAGTTAATTTAGACCAGTAAAATACCGCTTGGCAGACTGTCATCATCAATATCAGCCTAGTCTAGGCATATTAATATAGAAACAACATTGTGATTCACAACAGCCATAAGACAAATAAAATGGTAGTGGTTAGAAGCATGTCAACTTTATGAAACGTTTCAACAACTGTTATAGGCCAAACACAAAACTCCTCAGCTGACAGCTGTACCACCTTTCAAATACATGCTCAATAAGGAATTAAGCTATGTTAAGCTTTTCACATCTTCATCTCTTCCCTACTTATTTTTTCAGAACTTTATCCTACCATCTTTCTAGATCCCACTAGGAACCAAGGTGTGACTCACTATAAACGTGCAGCAGTGACTTCTAACATACTCTTTCATAACTGGCAATACTGATTTTTTTTTAAAGATAAGGAACACATTTTCCCTCTATTATACGTGTATGCATTACAATGTGAAATATACAGTTTACTACTTTATCCTGAAAGCACTCCAGTGCTAACAGCAATATTTACTGTGCTCTGCTGCTCAAGCTGGCAGTAACTGCAGCTTTCATTAAAAGGCACAGATCTGTTGAGCTTACTGCATCTTTCTTCCTCCTAGTAAATGAGGACAGTTTCTAATACCTCCTACCTCCATGAAAACCTTGTCAAAATTGTTGCCTAAGGGACTTTGCAAATATTTGCAAGCAAAACTGTGCTAGGAGTTCTAAATGATAGTTTTAAAAACTTCTTTATTAGTCCTTATAGAGGCAACTGAACAGAGTTTTAAGAATTTATAGCAATGTGTATATTAGACTGGAATTAATTTTCAACTGAACCCTATGTTTGAATACCTGGCTAGATACATTTCTTTATGGCCAGGGTTTTTAAAGAATTACATACATTGTAAATATGCCAGCTGTGCCATATTTAATTGGTGTTTCTGTGTTGCAGAGGACTGTTGGTCACTCTGGTCCAACAGCCAGACCAAGTGGCTGGGAACCAGGAGAGTTAATTTCTGGAATTGAAAACTCAGCCCCACATTCTGTTTGCTAAGGCTGGTCTGTCTTTTAAGGCTGGAAGCAGTGGGGCTCTAACTGAATCTATCTCTGGCTTCTAGCTGCTTGGGTGACTGACTAGGCAATGAACTTGTTTATGACTACGGAGCAGCATGACTTTTCTGGTTTCTTTTCAGTTTAGGAGACAGACTGGTTGAAATGGCTCCCGGGTTGACAGACCTTTTTATTTGGCTAGCTGATTTATTTTTTTGGCTGGTTTTCTAGCTGCAAAGATGCCTCCTGTGTGGCTGTTTTATATGGCTACTTGATTCACTGCCTGTAAAGAACAAAGGTCATCGTACAGTAAAGCCTATAATTTTCTTTTTTAAGAAAACCCTTCCAAAGGACTGCAAATTCATCCTCTTCCTTCATTAACATTTCCTTGTGCATATAACAAGTGATGTACTATATAAAAAAATGGCTCAACCAGTTCATGAGAATCACTCTGTGTTTTATGAAACAATCTCATTGACTTTAGGAACATAACTTTATTTGCACATAATGAAAACCACAGAAAAACAAGAGTTGCCAATTGGGTTCTAATATGAGAGCTCATGATGAACCAAAAAAGAATGCTATGTTTGCCTTCACCTGCTCTACATTATTGTATCTAAGTCATCCTTTTTTACAGTGCCTCTGTAGCGCTCTGAGACATGCTATGTGTAAAAAACAAATTCTATTCTAGTCTGTTCAGAAGAATCTTTCCATAGTTTGTGAAAGTTGAAAAAGACAAATGTGACCTGATGGAAACAATACAGCATAAAGGACACTATTAAACCAGAATATACAAAAAGTATTTTGTTATAGTCTTAATTTGGCTGTCAAACATGCCCAAAGTGCACTAGCAAGGCTGTGTAAGGGAGCATCCATCCTAGTGGCTACATTACCCTAGCCACAATATAGTGCTAATTGATTCCTAAGAACACTACATGGCTCCAAAAATATGAATCAGGAAAAATGGTATTTCATATTAGTAAACCCAAATGTGATCCCTATCTAGGAAGCAGAGGCAACAGCTCATGATTCAATTATGGCTTACTGAACAAGTTGGGTAGCAAGTACTCACTACAGTTGTTTGGCTCTTCAATCACATTTACTTATATGGACAGAAGCCAAATCAATTTCCTAGTAAGATGCAGTTTAGAGATTGGCCCAGATACCCATGAACTGTAAGACACTTGAATACTGATGACATTGTAGGTTGTGCCCATTTCTAATGCCCTCTTAACTGCAGGTTCAGATATTTCTCCCAAATCACCCTTCTTTTGTTCTTTTGCCTCCTTTTCCTTATACTGCTGCTTCCTGTAGCATCCTGGCTTAGCCTGACAATATGGTGAAATAGCTTCCATCACCGATCAAACAGGAAACCCCAATACCTTGGTTTTTTTCTATGTTTAAATGAAGACTGACTTGACAAGAACAGCAGCAGTACAGTTTTGTCCAGTAAGGATTTTTCTGGTTTCTCCATTGTGAAATAGATTTCATAGAATCATAGATTTATATAAACATGATTGGTATTTTCAATGAGCTTCATGTTGGTGCATTCCATCAGCCACTCCTGGGCTAACAGCTTTAGACAACACATTTTCCCATTATTCTTGCAGTAGGAAGTTGATGAGGGTAGTTCTTGGAGACAGAAAAGTCTTTTTGATAGCACGTCCTTGGAGGTGTTTGATTCCCAGCTCACTCTGAAGAACAAGTTCATGGACTTCCTCAGCATTCTGGGCTACTCGGCGAGGCATACTAACTTTGCCAAAAGCTTTGTTATTGATCTGGAAAACAGAGACATGATATCAAGAATGGACCAGTTTAGTAACTTCAGTCCTAAGGACTTCATAGCTACACTTCAATCTACTCTGTTATACTTGTAGGAAAGAATGGTACCAAACCTTTATCTCTTTCTTTGAGGCAGAGATTCTTGGCTAGAAAGAAAAAAAATAACCCCCAAAGGAGAGTGACTGATTCACAATATAGGCTTACAGTAACTTGAAAGAATGGCAATATGAAGTTCTCCTTACTGAAGGTTTCTAATATCAGCAGAATATACAACAGTGGTATATTAAATGTGGCTTATAGTAACTTGAAAGAATGGCAATATGAAGTTCTCCTTACTGACGGTTTCTAGTATCAGCAGAATATACAACACTGGTATATTAAATGCTTGAGAACTGCACAAGCTGAACAAGGAGATAGCAGACCTAACTGTGGCAGATGGACATTTTAGATGGTCTGCTTCAGAGTTTTGCTTTGTCGTTGAATGATAAACTATAGATATTAAACCACAACATAATTTTACAATAAAAATTGGGACAGAAGAGATACCTCCAAAAGAGATTAAACTTAAACTAATTTTATAAAAATAGACATCCGTTTATTAACAAGATGATTATCCACAAAGATAGGAGCAACTGCTAGGAACTCATCCCCCATAAAGGTAATGCTTTCCTTTGTTTGCCTGCTTTACAAAACAACTTCCGTCCTGGCTCTCTTTCAGCATGGCAAAATCATACAGTACTGCAAAATAACATCTACCTAGAGATTTATTTAAAATTATAGAATAGGCCCCTTCGGATACCTTTCCTCATTTCATCATTGCAGATCATTTCAGCCAATAAAACAGATAAAGGGAGGAGAGTGGACATCCCTCCTGAGCTCCTCCTCGCAATTTAAAACTAAAAGATTCAGAACCATAAAAGCTGTCAGATGTGTATGTTACTTCTGAAGATAATAAATGAAATCAACCTCAATCCTAAATTATATCTAGTGAGGTTTTTAGATATTTGTATTCAGTTTAACCATAGGCAGTGTGGTCAGTTTTGCCTGTAATTACATACTTTTTGTATAGATACAACATCAATGGACTAATAGATTAAAAATATGTAGGGGTCCCATAGCTAGTACTATGTTCATAGTTTCTGATTCAGATGCACTCAGCTTTGCTCTTGCATAAGCCAAATCTCTTAGGGTGCATCTACACTGCACCGTTTTTTCGCGATAATTAGCGTTATTTCAAAATAACAATGCGAGCATCTACATAGCCATTCTGTTATTCAAAATAATCTTGAAATAATGGATGGCTTATTCCAAAATATGTAAACCTCATTTTATGAGGAACAATGCCAATTTCAATTTAAAAATAAGATGTGTGTAGACACTTTACTGTTGCTATTTCAAAATAAGTGTGCAGTGTAGACGTACCACAGTCATACAGTTAACTTCATATTTTTTATTCTTGGTTTATCTCCTATCACCACTTCTCTTTTTCATCTCAGCAGAATTCTGAATTATCCAGCTTTCATTCTTTCTTGAGTCAATCAGCAACATAAGACGTCAACTATGGTGCTCAAGAACAAAAACAACAGCACGTAAGCTAGTAATGTATTTACTGACCACTACTGAAACTCAGCTTGTAAACTCTTACCAGAACAGACATCTCTATGATATCTGGTTGTTGAAGGTATTCTGGGTCCACTTCAGGCCAAGACTGATGCAGCACATCGTCATCCCATTTATAATGCATACAAAGTTTATTCTGCACATGTGCCAAACCTACAACATAAAATTGATCAACTGCTGATCATACTTTAACCAAAACAATAAATCTTTTGAGTTTCATAAAGATGAATATGTCAAAAGATTATTTAATTTAAACCTTGTTGAAAGCTAATTCACTGGGAGGAAATAATATGGTTTAGTTTTGCATATTACAATCAGAAAGATATACCGTATTCAGAACTTTGAAAGGGACTGTTTTATATAATATTTAGGGATTCAAATGTGAATGTTTTTCAGATTATGGTTAGATTTCCAAAACCTTTGCTACTTTGCCATAAGGCACAGATATAGAAGGCCAGCTCTTATTCTGTTTTAATTCAAATTGATGCTACATTGTTACACACAACAGACTTTAATCTTACAGCCAGTCAATTTTCTACACTCTTCAAGACTGCACCTTCTTCTTACATAATCACAGTTTAATCTCAATCTCACATAATGTATTCAATATGATACTTTTCACATTTAAATCACTAACCCTCATTTCCCCATTTCTATAAGATGTCGTATTCGACTATTTGCAAGGCTGTGTAACAGATGTCTGCAAAGTGTTCTGACACTCTCAAATAAAAGGCTCTATAGAATTTAAGTATAAACATTATTGCACTCTTTCACACTGCCTGAAATGTGTTACATTTTCATTTTGTCTATTGCTACAGGTTAACTTTCTATAAATACTACTTATCAGACAGACTTTATTCTTAAATATGGAAATAAAAATACTTAATTTACTCCTGTTGTGTGATGAAATGAACTTGAACATCTACAAAAATATCTGAAAATGAAACTGATGCTGCCAATTGTCACTGTAATTATTTGTTTCTTATAAAATCAAGTAATTTTCCACTTACAAATACATTATGTATTTCAATGAGAACACAATTCTAAATATTTTTTTAAACTAAAATTCAAATCAGAATTGCAAATCCACAGCAACTGACCAGACGTGTAGTTGAAAATGTGCATATCTTGTCAACATACAGTTACAAACTCAAGAGGGAAAAAAAGTCAAACACATATATGCGTTTTCAGTGACTCAAACAATAGAATAAGGAAAAACAATGGTCTAAGAAGTATAGCCCCAAGAGATTTGCTCAGAATCAGCTTATGAAGCAATTTTAAAAAAAGGAAGAAAAAAAAGCATTTCATAGAGACAAAAAGAGAATCCATGGTATTCCAGGAATAACAAATATATTTATCATAATAGTTAGAGGTCAGGCAAACGTACCAAATAAAAGCAAATGAAAGGAGAGGTACAGTTTAACTCTCTTAAAATTAAAGTCAGAAGAAGTTGCAGTCAAGCCATTTCTCTAAGTGACATGGATACGCTAGCTATTTCCTTAATGACTCAGAAAGGGGGTGGATTGGTGGGAGTTATTTCTGATCACAAGCTATGCAAGCATTTCCTAAGTGTGACAATAGAGGCTCCAATCTTGTTAAGTAAATATCTGACAAAATGCTTTATTGGGGGTATGGCTTTTTCTGTGACAGGAGTACTGAAACCAAGAAAGCAAAACTGAAGAAATCAAAGAGCAGAAATCTTCAAAGTGAAGATTCATTTTCCCATTGACTTAAAAAAAAAAAAAAGCTGCTACAGATTCATCTCCTTTTGGCTTTTGCATGCAGAGATGAGCTCACTTCTTTCCAAATGATCACATGCCGTGAGGAAAAGCATGCACACAGGCCACTCCTTATTTTCCTGTTTAAATGGATTCTTCACACTATTGCAAAAGTATCTTCTAAAGGTGAGAGACAACACCAAAGGGGCAGAAACTGGGTCACTCATCATCTCATAAAAAAGCAAAAAGAAAATATTCTTCAGTCAATCCAGAATATTAATGAAGTGAAAAGTGTCACTCTTTTTTAATTATCAGAGGGGTAGCCGTGTTAGTCTTTTTTAATGATTCTTTTGCTACAAGACGTGTCACCAGTTACAAAGATTAAGCCCACCTATATTTAAAAAAAATTGAAAAAAATATCAACAGGGCTGGTTTCAGAAAATGCATTAGACAGGAAACCAAAATGAAGGTTTCACATGCCTGCCTAGTTGGTTTCCTGTCTTAATTCACATTCTGTAATCTCCAGAACACAGGCAATGCTATCACCATTTATTACATAATTTCAGAACAAATCAACAGCCTCCTTTTGAAATAACGCATTCTGCTGTACTATATGAAAATGATTTGACCCTATTACCAGAATTATCTTTTGAAACTATTACTTTGGTCTTGCTTATGGGCCTATGATTCAAGTTAAAATGCAACACTGTAAAAGGTGGAAACAAACACTGGTGAGTATGAAAGAGTGGATTATGGTGAAGGGAAGACATGATTTACAGCAGCAAAATCAGGCAAATGCTTTGATTAGTAGTGTGAAAGTCATGTGAATATCACAAGAATAATACTTCCCATAAAATATTGTTTTTTTGGTAGAGAAATTACTTATTATTGGTTACATAAAATGTATTTGAGGAGGGAAAGGGGAAGCATGGCAGTTCACAAATCACATTTGCATAGTTGTTGCAATCTTACAGGGCCACATGAAAACAATGGATGCAATTAAACCAAAAAAAACTGTAACCATACTTTTCCAGCAGCACTAAAGCTGCACTGGTGCTGGCAAATGAGTACAAATGTTTCTAGTATACATAAGGTCAAAGAGGCATGTAGCGTGGGATGAGGGAGGGAGAGGAGTCAAAAGAAGTATGCAGAGACAGAGAAGCAAATGGTAGAGCTATGGAGAGATGGAAGAGGAATGATTGAATGTAACATGGGTGGTGAGAAAAAGCCAGTGGAGGGGTGTGGCCAGAGTTTAAGGCAAGGGGGTTTTAGGCAGAAATGGAAATATTAGAAGGATCAGCGCAGGGTGATCATAAACAAATGTGATGCAAGTATTTGTTATTCAAGAGTTATATTAGCAATCTCTGGGTTTGGCAGAGACAAAATAATGGGAGCCTGAATTGAGTACAATATCATTACACGGACAAATGAAGTGTTCTCAAGAAGCTCTGTACAGCCATTAACAATATTTAGCAGATTTTCATGTTTTATCAGTATGCTATTCATCTCTACAATTAATTCCAGTGTACTGTCATCACATGATTTTCCCATTACATAAAATCAAACCAGGGGAATATCAGGATACACATTTGGCATAGCTGTAGACCACACGGGATATGCAACAGCTGAGATATTAAGTGACTATCATAGTTTCCAAACAGCTAGGAAGAAAACTGTGCAATATAAGTTGAACCTCTCTAAACTGGGACAACATCCATGGTCCGGCAGGACCACAAATGCTCCAGGACCAGGTTCCTGGTGGAGGGCTGGGACCCTTGCAGGACAGCGAGTTGCCACTAGGGCCGGGAGAGTGGGGGCAGAAATGACCTTCTCTGGTCTGGCAAAAATCCTTCATCTGGACCGGTTAGGTCCCCAGGGTGCTGGACCAAAGAGGTCCAACCCGTAGTACTACACAAGTGGATATCCAAAGCTAACCTTAGCTGAATATAGTCCCATGGGGGAACTCCCATGTCATCAGAGGTGTAGGCCTCTAGAGCCAGAGTTTTGGAATGCTCTCCCATTTAGCTTATTCCAAGTCTATCTTTCTGACCATGGCTGACCATAGCTTTTCTTTCTCAAGTTCATGCAGATTTATTATTTTTGGCTTGACAAGAAACTGGTGGTATGGGATTGTATACTGGATCAGGATTATTTTGATATTGGGCCATGTTGCATAGTGGAGTTTCTGCTTTTAGATTTTTGAGAGGACATAGATAATGTACTCAAAGGCCTTCAGGTTTTGTGAGCCATGAAAAAACAAGTGTATTGCTAAATTAAAAACATTTCACACTGCACCTACACTAGCTTTGCACAATTACTATTATTGACCTGGCTTGTGAGGTACATTGTCCTAGGCCATCCTGAGTCATTCTTTCCTGCACAGGATAAATGACTCAGAAACCCTCTTCTCTAGCTCTACAACTCCTCACCACTCTCTCTCTCTGAGTATTGTGCCTGGTACTTCTCGGAGACTCTTCAAGGGCATGTACAGAGCATCACAATCTGTCAAGAAAGCTCTACAAAGAGCAGAGTTCAGATGAGGAAGACCAAAAATATCAAAATTGTTAAGTATGTGGTTTGTGCAAGTACAAAGCAAAATTACCTTTCCTTTAAGTAATTTTAGTGTAATTTTTACTTAGCCCTTATTCTTCAGATAAAACTCTGACAGCAGCCAGTGATGGTTTTCCCTAAACAAGGACTGAGTTAAAACTGAATCAGGATTTCAAGAATGAGACTATTGTAATGACTGTTAATTTGTTGCCAAGACAATTATGACATCATAAATACCAGTACTCATTATCAATGTCAATAAATCATAAAAAATGGATGAAGTGACCATGCTTGTTTAACCAGTAACTTTCACATGGTGCTTTCATCTTTTCAGGTCTAGCACAAATGAAACTTCTCAAAACAAGCAACTACACAACCATTGCCTGCATGATTAAATACTGGGCAAACACAACTACACAAAAAGAATCTCAAATTTAGCAGTGGTGCATGTATATTCCTCAGATACAAGGTTTCAGGAAGGAAATAGATTTCCTCATCCTGTTAGTGTTCACAGACTGCCAAAATGTATGTCAGCCTGATGAACTCTTCCCACATTGAGGGGCTATATTAATTTTTTTTTTGCATGGCACAGCATGTACTGTGTAACAGAGTTAAGATGACACATCAGAGACACTAGTAATAGTCCCTGCCCTAAGCTGGAGAAAGGGCTACTTCCCAAAAAAGTAAGATACAAAAATATCAAAGCACCGTAACTACTCAGTTGTTATTCTGCCACTGATGAAAGTTAATAAATTTATCAGACTGCATTCAAACAGTCTTTCCCTTTATTCAAACTGGAAAAATGTATGTTTCTTTGCTTAGCTAAAGTTCTGCTTGAAATATATAAACAAAATGGTCACATTTTCATATGGCACCAAACAAATA